CTGAAGCATTCAAAATCACAGTTAACATAAGGTGGTCGGAAAACTCCACCACCTGACACTCAGGTGCCGAGAAAGCGGAGTCCCCCTTTAAAAAAAAACTTCTCTCACTTCTACCTCTTCTAAAAGTAAACCCCGTGCTGTCTGGGCTGCACTTAACCAAGGCATCCTCCAGGGCAGCCTCCCTGATTATCGCATTTAGAAAAACGTTATATCCCGGCCTGTCATTGGAGCCTTTCGTGTCTTTGGGCCTAGTGATGGTGTTAAAATCACCTCCAAAGACAACTTTCCGGGATGTAAAAAGGAACGGCTTAATCCTTGTGAAAAGGCATTTTCTGTCCTACTTAGATTGAGGACCATAGATGTTTATTAAACGTAATTCTTGCCCCTTCACAATGACGTCCAGGACCATACACCTTCCAATCTCTACCTCAATGACCCGCAGACACGTCACCATGCCGGAAAAAAGTACGGCTACTCTGCTGTAAGGCTCAGCCGCAAGAGACCAAGGAAGGACCACACCTCCACTCCCTTTTTGCTAGATGGACATCAGCTAGGCTGTTAAGCCTGGTCTCTTGCAAAAATAAAATGTCAGCTCCAATACTGCTGAGCAAAAATAAGGCCGTACTCTCGGCCACATGCCTGATTCCCTGGCACAATGAACACTTCAAAACCTCACAGCTGCCACTAAGGTAGTTGAGATGAGCGTTTATTAACTTTGCTTTTCTCAGCTTTTGCAGGGGGCCTAGTCCTTTTAAGGGACCCCCCTGCCTCCTCATCTTCCATGGGGGAAGGAGACTCTCCAAAAAACCCCAAACTTGTTTTCAAGAGGCATTTCATCTACCTCTAATGAAGAAATCGAGGAAGAAGAAGACAATACTTCCCTATTTCCACCTCCCTTCCCCAACAAGGACCACCCTCCCTATCTTCCTTAACCAATCCATCCTCCCCAGGGGCCGAGCTCTCTTGCCCAACCTCCACCTGACCCTTAGATGCCACAGGGTCTCCTGTATGGCCCTTACGGCAATGCCATTTAAATTATGGAGTGCTTCAGGGCATTGATTGTAAGAATGCCCTAATAACTGACAGAGGTTGCCCCTTATTTGGTTGCAATCTCGGGCCACATGCCCGATTCCCTGGCACAATGAACACTTCAAAACTTCACAGCTTGAGGCGAAGTGCCCCTTATTGCCACAACGGTGGCAGACTTTCGGCTGCCCAGCATAGAACACAATTAATCTGTCCTTCCCAAGGAAGGTCGAAGAGGGTAGATGCTTTACCATATTATGCTCAACTTGTAGCCTTACAGTCGCCAACCATCCCCCGGTCCAGATCCCGCGGTCGTCCAGGATCTTTCTAAGTGGGCCCAATACCTCCCAAATCTTTTTAGCCATACTACAATATCCGCCTGGGGGATCGATTCGTTTGTGACAAGAATCGTAACGGCTTAGATAAGGGGCTGCCTTGACACGACTTTTGGGGTGAGGCCCTCCCACCTAGGGGTCCCCTTCCACTCGTTCTCGTATCTCTGCCAGAACAAATCTAAACACTCTGGTTTCACAAATGATACATCGTATTCCCCAGTCCCCACCGGGGCTATAAAGGCAAAAATGTCAACCGCTTTAAAGCCCATGTCCAGGATCCTATTAACAACCTCCCTTCCCTTAGCAGGGGGGGGGGGGGCTCCCTCCTTCCCATTTTAGCTGAACAACATTCCTTCTCTTAATGGTTGGTGGTGACCCCCCTGCCCGGACCTCGGATGGTCTTACTACCCACTGCCTATTTCTCAAAGCCGCTGAATAATTCAGGGAACCCCCGACTGGGGCAGGGGCTGGAGCTGGGGCTGAGACTGGGGTTGTGCCGGTCACAGCAGGCACTACATCAACGAGAATGACTTCACCTGGAGAAACAATATCACTCACATTTGCATTTGCTGCTGACATATCACAGTCAACCAAAACAGTGTCCGCAACATTAATTACAGTCCCTGTAGTGGGGGACACATCCGACTGCAGCTGTACCGCTTTCCCCTCCGGTACCTGCGATTTGCAAAAGTTCTCCAGATTGCTGGGAAGTTTCTCCAGCCTCACAAAGACAGATTTCTCCTTCTTCTTTGGCTTTAAAGGTCCCAGAAACGTATCTGCCTCATCGCCGGTCTCATCAATGAGAATGCAAACTGATGTCCGTGCAGCGGGGACTCCAGCGCTGTCACGAACTCCATGGCACCGGCAGGGGCGGACTGACCATTCGAGCACTTGGGCACTGCCCGAGGGCCCGGGGTCAGTAGGGGGCCCCATGAAATGCCACTGGTACCTTTTTTATAGGCTTTTATGAGTGAGGGCAAGGACACAGGGGCCCCATGATCCCCTATTGCCCGGGGCCCCATGAGTTGTCAGTCCACCTCTGGGCACCAGCAGCCTCCTCCTGCTCCACACGAGATCTCCAATCTGACCACTGCTGCTGAGAGATGAGCTCCGACTCATCCTCCGCCGACAAACATTTTTCCTCTTGCTGGGACGTAACATCAGTCACTTCCCCGACCTCACCCGAACGGTCCGACAGGTCTCCAGATGACTCTGCCTCTCAGACCTGGCCCCTCGCAGCCGCTAACGATTTGTCACGGGCTTGTTTAAACCGCTCCTTGTTTAGAAACTTTTCCCGCATGAACCCGCTGGATGCTTTCAGGGCTTCCACCAACTCACTTTGCTGGCGCACTTCCTGCACCATGTCCTTGAGTTCCGGTCTCATAGACTAGTGTTTCGTGCTCCACACACGATCGTAGGAAGACTTAAACTTCCACAAGTCATTCCTCATCTTCACAAGCTTTCTTCCTCCTTCCCGAACTTAGCCACGTGGGCCGTGATGCGGCCCCGATAGGACCCATAAGATTTGTTCCTTTTAGGGCCTTTTCTCAGATCCTCTATAGCTGGTGGGCTAGGACCGGTACATAGAGCCCTAGAAGTTCCTCCTCCACCCGGATCATGGCCAGGCTCCGCCATCCTTTTCCGGGTAGTGTCAAAATTTAGACCCCAACTCTGTTTGAGGCCTAGCAGGACCTCACACAGCACACAGTCTGCACTGCCACTCACGCTGGTGGTGCTGTGGCTCACCTGCTCTATGGGTTGTAGTACCGGGACTTACCAGCAAGTGCCTTTCAGCAGCCAGGATTTCACCTCCTGCAATCAAGCCATCAACTGAGGCTAATTGCAGGAGGTGTACTTAAACAGCAATTAGGCATGTAACCAAAGCCTTGGTGTTTGTTCCCTTGAGCCCTTGATATCTTGTTTCCCCGTTACCTGCTCCCTACTCATGTTATCTGCTCCATGTCCTGTCTGCTTCCCTGCACCCGATGCTTGATTTCCTGTGTATGACCCCGGCTAGCCCTGACTACGCTTTTGTTCTGTATATGGATATATTGGGTGAAGGTTTTGGTTATTTGGTTTTTGTTTGCACTGTGCGTTTTTGTATACTGGTGTATTTCACAATAAATTATATTATCCACATCACTCCTGAAGCCTGATATTCCCTGTGTCAGTCCACACATCTCTGGTCATATCCAGATTACTGACAAAACCTTTCCATGTTTGGAGATTAAATTTCTTTTCCTCCAGACGTAAAGAGTGCCCCCTTGTCCTCTGTGATGACCTCAGGGTGAAGAACTCTACACCGAATTCACTATATGAACTACTGATGTATTTATACATGTTGATCATATCCCCCCTTAATCTCCTCTTCTCAAGAGGGAAATACATTTAGTTCCTCTAATATTTCCTCATTGCTGAGCTCCTCCATGCCTCTTATCAGTTTGGTTGCTCTTCTCTGTACTTTCTCCAGTTCCCCAATGTTCTTGTTGTGAATTGGTACCCAAAACTGAACTGCATATTCCAGATGAGGTCTTACTAATGATTTGTACAAGGGTAATATGATATCCCTCTCTGTGGAGTCTATACCTCTTTTAATACAAGAGAGGATTTTGCTCTCTTTAGAAACCGCAGCTTGGCATTGCATGCCATTATTAAGCTTGTGATCTACCAGAACTCCCAGATCCTTCTCCACCATTGATTCCCCTAGTTGTATTCCCCCTAGTATGTATGATGCATGCATTTTCTTAGCCCCCCAAGTGCATAACCTTACATTTATCAACATTAAACCTCATTTGCCACATAGTTGCCCAATTAAACAGTGCATTGAGGTCGGCTTGTAAATTGAAGACATCCTGTAAGGACATTATTCCACTGCACAGCTTGATGTCATCTGCAAAGACTGAAATTGTATTTTTAATCCCAGACCCTATATTGTTTATAAATATATTAAAAAGTAAGGATCCCAACACTAAACCTTAGGGTACACCACTGACAACCCTAGACCATTCAGAGTATGAATCATTAACCACTACTCTTTGAATACGATCTTTTAGCCAGTTTTTTATCCATTTACATACGGATCTTACCAAGCCCATAGACTTTACCTTACACATTAGCCGTGTGTGTGAAACTGTGTCAAACGCTTTTGCAAAATCCAAGTATACCACGTCCACCGCCACCCCTCTGTCCAAGGTTTTGCTCACCTCTTCATAAAAAGAAACTGGATTTGTTTGACAACTTCTGTCTTTCATGAATCCATGCTGTCTGTTGCTTAAATTTTTTTTTCCAACAAGAACTCATCTATGTGGTCTTTTATTAAACTCTCCAGTATCTTCCCAACTATAGAAGTTAAACTAACAGGTCTATAATTACTTGGTAAAAATGGTGACCTCTTTTTAAATATTGGCACCACATTGGCCTTATGCCAATTCAGTGGTACTATGCCAGTCATTAACTGTCTCCCGCCCGCTATATAAGGTAATGATGGGAGCAAGGCGGTTCTCTTGTTCTGGGAGTACATCATGTGACGTCCTTCCACTCTAACTGCGTGTGCGCGCCCCCGGGGCGATCGGTGGTGCGCTGGGACACTGTGGATCACCGATGAACGGAAAGAGCTGAAGACGTCGGCTCTGTCATGTGATCAGCTGTGTCCAATCACAGCTGATCGCATGTAAATAAGGAAATTATTGGCATTCCTCTTCTCACGAGCTGTCACGCTGATGATCAGTGTGCCCTGATGATCAGTGTAGCCCCATCAGTGCCACCTGTCAGTGTCCATCAATGCCACCTGTCAGTGCCCATCAATGCCACCTGTCAGTGTCCATCAATGCCACATATGAGTGCCTACCAGTGCACATCAATGTTTTATCAGTGCCCATCTGAGCTGTCTATCAGTGCCAGTCAGTGCTGCCTAACAGTGCCAGTCAGTGCCACCTAACAGGGCCAGTCAGTACCACCTATCAGTGCCAGTCAGTGCCACCTATCAGTGCCATATATGAGTGCTGCCTTTCAGTGCCCATCAGTGATATCTGTCACTGCCCATCAGTGCCACCTACCAGTGCCTCCTCATCAGTGCCGCCTATCAGTGCCCACCAGTGAAGCCTATCAGTGCCCATCACTGCAGCCTCATTAGTGCACATCAGTGAAGGAGAAAAATCACTTATTTACAAAATTTAATAACAGAAACTAAGCATAAACTTTTTTTTTTCAAAATTCCCTGTTGTTTTTGGTTTGTTTAGCAAAAAATAAAAAACCCAGAGGTGATTAAATACCACCAAAAGAAAGCTCTATCTGTCTCAAAAAAATGATAAAAATGTTATGAGTACAGTGTTGCTTGACCGTGCAATTGTCATACAAAGTGCGACAGCACTAAAAACTGAAAATTGGCCTGGACAGGAAGGGCGTATAAGTGCCCTGTAGGCAAGTGGTTAAAGAGTCCCTAAAAATTAGAAACAATGGCTTTGAAATGACAGAGCTCAATTCTTTAAGGACCCGTGGGTGTATGTCATCCGGTCCAGGTGCTTTATTCACCTTTATACTGTCTAAATATTTTTGGATCATATCAATTGTGAGTCAGTGTGGATCAGTTGGAGCTGTGTCAATACCATGCCCATTATGGATAAGAGTCCTTTGTATACACAGAGCTGAAGAAGGTATTAATTAAATGTGCCTTCTCTTTGACCCCAGTCACCCACTCTAGATTATTTTTTAAAGGGGCTGCATGCTCGAAACCCATGCAAGTAATAAATCTGGAGTAACGTCAGGGACTAAAGCTGTGCGGAGCTCCACTGACACACACACTGTGCCGTTTAGACATGGTTGGCTCACTGTGTCTACTGCACTCCAGCTCTAGTAAGGAATTGAATGGGAGTGTGAGCACAGGGGGTTGTACAAGGTGTATGTGACTGTCGACACTGGGGCAACAAATAAGTTCTGCAAAATACTCACGTGCCTCTTAGCAAATACCTTGGAGTGCCTACTTTCCAAAAAAGGGTCATGGGGGGTGGGTTGTGCTATTTTTGCATTTCAGGGCCTCTGAAACTGTGAAAGGTATTTAGGGAGTGCAATGAGGAAATAAAGCCCTTTAAAAGGTGCTTTATAGATTTGGGGTCCTGTACTTGGCTAGACAGCCAAAAAGTACCTCACATGTGGTACCACCATACGAGAGAAGTAGCAGAATATGTTTTTGTGTGTAATTCCACATGTATCCATGGTATGTGTGAGCAATATATCATTTAAGTGACAACTTTGTGTAAAAATGTTTCTTGTGTCCTTTTCAAAAACTTGCAGGAAGAAAAACATTCTTCTATTGACTCAACATGCCTCTCAGCAAATAGTTTGGGGTGTCAACATTCCAAAAAGGTGTCATTTGGGTGGGTCTTGTGCTATTCTGGCATTTTATGCCCAACATTAGCACACATCAACTACTCTTCCAACCACTTGAAGACAAAGGTTTTCTAATAATCTTGGGTCACATGAAAAAAATCATTATTTTTTGCTAGAAAAATATTAACCCCCAAACAGTATATATTTTTAATGCACAAAAACACAATGCAGAAAAACACAATGTACTGGCCAACTGGTGAAATGTAAAAGATGATGTTATGCCGAGTAAATAGATACCAAACATCACATGCTTTAAAACAATGGCGACAAACTACATACATTTATAATATTCATAGGCGACGCTTTAAAAGCCTTTACAGGCTACCACTTTAGATTTACAGAGGAGGTCTAGTGCTAGAATTACTGCCCTCAATCTGACATTCATGGCAATACCTCACATGCATGGTGCAACCGCTGTTTACATATTGACACAGGGTCAAAACTTACGTACACCTTTGCAAGTGAGCACAGGGGAACAAGGGTGCTTTAATTTTTTTTTTTAAGTATTTATTTTGCTGTTTTTTATTTTTACACTGTCCATTTTACTTATTTATTTGTATTTTTGATCCCTTTTTTTTATTATCAATGGGAATGTAAATATCCCCTATGAAAGCAATAGGCAGTGATAGGTACTTTATTTGAGAAATATGGGGTCTGTTAGACTGTAGATTTCTCTTCTGTCCTTAAAGCATCTGATCATACCATGATTAATGTGATCAGATGCTTTCCTATTTTAAAAATGGCGCTGTTTATATTCGACAAAACCGAAGTGATAAAATGATCTGATCTTCTGGTTTCTTAGACCATAGAGTTGACTGGAGCTGTTTCCATCTCTGATCAGCCCTAAGGTTAGCAGGCAGAACCACCAGCTGTATTCTTGGGTTCCCTGGTGGGACAGGATAACCCAAGAAAGCCATGGAAGGTGGAGAGGAGGGGCATCCCCTCTCACTACTTGTAAAAGCAAGCCAGTGGCTAATTAGCTGCTCGGATTGCTTTTACATGAAAGCCGACCGTTGTCTGAAAAAAACAATACCAGAATGATGCCTGTAGCTGTTCTTTTTTTTCATGCAACCTGTGGGCTGAACAAAAAACAGAGAGCCTAATAGATTTCTCCATTCACATCGATCGATGTGGATAAAGAAGTCTTTGCTAGAAAAAAGTGTGTGGTATGCCCACCATTAGAATATACCTCTCTGCATCCACTCACTTCTAATGTTGGGCATACATGTACATTTCTTTTACAGAACCTAAGAACCTAAGAAATTCCTCCATTCACATCAAGAGCCTAAGAGATTCCTCCATTCACATCGATCAATGTAGATGAAGAAATTTCTGCCAGAAAAAATTATAAATATATGCCGAAGCATAGGGGCAATCCTTCCACTGACCACTACAGGCCCCCATGCTTGGGTATATATGTTCTTTTTTTTACTGTAGATGAAAAATCTCATCCAGCAGCGCTGCACGCACTGATATATATTCTGAGAACAAGACCCTGTTGGTGTCAGAATAAACAGATCGGTGCTGCAGCTGAATGGTGTTTCTGCAAAGCAAACAACAATGGTTAACAATAAAACACAATACTAATAGAACATTAACTCAGTAAAACAACTGAATGGTGTTCCTGCAAAGCAACGTTTTTTTATTTATTTTAATTTACTTTTTTTATGGGGGGTTTTTTGTAACTTTTAAGATCAGCCTCTGATTTTATGGTCTCTCAAAATGCGATAGACAGTTTACTGACAAACATCTTTCGAGACCCTGTGTCACGTACCTGATTGGAGACTAAAATGACGAGGTCGGCCTCACTTGTGTCACTAGCCCTGACCCCACTGGAAGTGGAACAGAGGGTGTCTAGGGACCAAGGGGACAAGAGCGCCAGCAGATGTTATTTGCAGCTCTTGCAGTTGGAGACTTTGGAAGACTGATGAACCTCCGTTTCAGGCACAGTAGTAATATGCAGAGCTGGTATGGTAGATCGCCAGGTGTGCACCAGAGTAAGGCAGGAAGCAGGGATGGGAGACAGGAGCGGTGTCAAAGGAATAGCCAGGGTCATCAATGGGCAGACAGCGAGGTACCAAATCATAAGCAAGCCAAAGTCAGCAGCAGAGCCGAAGTTTGGAACCAGTATCAAGCAGGAGAATAATCAGAGTCAGGTCAGGAATAAGCCGGGTCAGCAACAAGGAAATCACACAGGAAACAAGCAGGAAACTGGGAACAGCTGAAGACCAGTCAGCACTCAGCACAGGCACCTTTTAAATAGTCCGTCTGGCGCCAATCTTCATCGCGCGTGATCGTGCATTTCTGTGCACATGCGCATGTCTATTCACCAGCCGTCTCACGGGAATTCCCTTACACCCTGTGTGAGAATGGTGAATATGTGCTGTAGACTGTGCCGTGCTGTACCCTATACTAATACTCCACTAGTGTGTGGTAGTGATGGAAGCAGTCCTTGAGGCAGAGACCAGGTTGCCCAGGACAGGAGGGACAAAAAAAGCAGGTGTCAAGTCCTAATCCGTGTCTGCTACAGACACAACATTTTCTATGTGGTGACCTATGGGTTGGGGTACCAGAGAGGACATAATGAACATGCATCTCACGCAACCGGCTCACTGCGTCTGGATTTGGGAATTGGGCCATAGCACCTTCTGGATACAAAAAGACCGTGATGATTTCTTCCTGAAATTTTAGGAAGGAACCACTTCACCCAGGTGCTTTATAGACACCTTTTTGTACCAATCTCAAACTTTGTGGGAAGCTAAATACGGATTCATCATTTGGTCGTTGAAGCCCACCCCTCCCATGTTAAGTTTATAGTCGTGGATACAGAGGAGTTTCTCAGCAATGCCAAAAATGTATCCGTTATCTTTTTAGTAAAAAAACAAAAAAAACAAATTAGTTTAAACCAAAAATTATAATTTTTAAACATTTTCTTTTACATTTTTATTTTATTTTTTTATATTATTATTTTTTATTTATTTTTATTTTTTTACATACTGTAACCCTAGCAGTACAGTGTCACCTTGGTGACACTGTACTACTTGGGGTTGATGAAGATTTTTTTTTTTTTTTTTTTTACAATGATTGCTTTTACACCCATATAGGATGTAAAAGCAATCATTTCTCTTTCTCTCTGTGTGCATTCCTGCACTCATTGAGAAGTACTGAGTGAGCTGTGATTGGTCACAGCTTGTCACATGGTACAAGGCTGTTGTGAATAGCCTTGTACCATGTGACCTCTGTGATCATTCACAGATTTCACACGTAGTAAGCAGTGATGTCACAAGTGACATCTTGCTTACTACTTTGCATGTGATTACTGATTGGCCAATCAGTGATCACATGATCGGGACCTCGTACAGAGGTCCCGTCCGACGATCGGTGTTTCAGTGTGTCCGGAGGACACAGCGGGCACCGGATCGCGGTGCTGCACGCTCCCAGGAAGTGCGCACAAGCAGGGTGCGGGGAGGCCGTTCATAAACGGCCACCCGACCCTGTACTGCCACCGTCCGGCCGTTTATATGCAACGGCCGGTCGGTAAGTGGTTAATATAAAAATAAGACAAGAGTCTATGCAAGTCCAACAGCGGAAATTGTAGCCAAAACCTGGGTCTAGAGCCAGG